GTATGTCTTACTTCAGTTTTTACACTACAATCTTCTCCATTAGAATTCCTACAACAAATGTTACATTTCAAACTTCACATCATCAGTATTATAACTGGATTTATGGAACTTAAATACCATGGCAAAGCATGGATATCAGGCTAGTTACATATAGTCCAGTGGCACCTTTACGACCAACAAAGTTTAATTCTGGGTATAAGATTTTGGGTGCATGCACACTTCTTCAGATGATGAAGTGTGCATGCACCCAAAAGCTTATACCCAGAATTAAACTTTGTTGATCTTAAAGGTGCCACTGGACTCAAACTTTGTTCTGTTGCTTCAGACCAACACAGCTACCCACATGAATATATTACATGTAGTTCCATAATACTTTTGACAAATGCAGAAGATAAACAGAGAAGACAGAGAATGGCACAGAGAAAAGCTTCTTAAAACTTTGGCCTCAAGTTGGTTTCCCACTGAAAACCACCAAGCCAGTATGAACACAGAGGAGTGGCAATTCAGCAATTTTTAGGCAAAAGTGACAGGAGGCAAAAAAGCTAAGACACACCTCGCCCACCTGTACCAGAACCCCTCCCTCTTAAAACCACAGCCCCAGCAGATGATCTTTGTAAAATAAAAAATAGGTAAGCATGGTCATAGGATTAGCTACCACATGCAATTCTACTATAAAATCCATTGTATTTACTAGTAGTATATGCTGATAGAACAGTTTTAATATTGTATGTGTCAATGCCTTCAAACAAGACTCCTGTTTTTCCTAAAGCGTTAAACCCCCCCTCACATTTAATTGTTAAAAACCACCTCTGATAGTGAACCCTGATTGCATACTTCATTATTGTTATTCAGCTGTGCACTAAAACACAGTGTGATTTAAGACTATCAACTTAGTTAATTCATAACCCTGATACCCTCATTGTTATCTTTAAACTGTTAAACTAAAGGTGTTGGAGGAAAGATAGTGCCTTAAACTCTATGTCTCAATGATGTAAAATCTTATGAACTGACAATGTCTGCTCTATTTACCAATACTTTTTACCCAACAGAAACTCTGCTTCCAGTCACACTGGTTTTCAACTAATCATTTTTACTGACTGCTACTATCAATGCAGTAAAATTATAAGTTTCAGCTATGTACATGTAGAGAAACTGAATATGGAGAACAATTCAGATTCACAGCAAGTAGCATCTACCTCAGCACAGGGATGGAATGATGGTCAAAATTCTAGGCAACTGGATTAAACTGCTGACTGGTTGTCCTGGTATAAGCCTGTACACAACACAAGTGCAGTTCAACAATCTCTTTTTATTATTCTTTGATCACAGGTAGTCTATCTAGTTCACTTAGAAACTAGAAAGCCTAGCTATTCTGGAGAATTTTATGCTACTAGCCAATGGACTGGAAGATCCTTAAATGCAGATGCTGCTAATTATTACATCTGTAGACTTTTAGGATTGCAATGGGATGGATGGTTGAAGTAGTAAGGAGGCTAATATTTTTTAATTGTGGGAAGAGGGTTTTTTACTCTATTATAACACATCTTTTTAAAAGTGTACATTTTTAAATTCTATTTTTGTACACTTTCTAATTAGCTACCCTGAGACTACTGATTGGGGGCACAATAGCTTCAATGAACTGTAACTATCCACATGCAACAAGGTATGTGAGATTTTTCTGCTTTGTAAAGTACAATGCTTAAATTGTATGATGCATGTATGGATCATGACCAGTGTTCCCTCTAAGCTGAGCTAGTATGAGCTAGCTCACAGTGTTTTAGCCTCATAGGAAAGATGCCAAGAAATATTTGTTTAAAATACTAGCCAGCATCTATGTGTCAAACACCAGTGAATCTATCTGTCGAGACAGGAAGGCCTTTACTTATGTGGGAAATCCCTGGGATTACCACACACAGACACTCTTCCTGAACTCAGACATCACAACAAGATCCAATTAAACTAAGATTAGACAGCTTGCTGCTATGTTCACACAGACACTTCACTCGTCTCACCTCTGTTCTTCCTCAGAGAACACCTGGTATTTGCATTCATATGTCAGAGAGGAACCACAGTTCATTTCAAACCAGAAATCCTCCTTGCCACAAGACAATGTCATAGGAATGAGGCACAAGCACAGCAACAAGTCATGTCCATGTTCGTATACGTCTCAGATTAACTGGAGTTGAATTCAGCCAACAAGTGCCTGTCTCTTAACCCTGTGTTTTGTCCTACTGAGGAAAATGCAGCCATGACCACACATGCACTTGGTCTTATAGAGGATCCTGGAAGAAGAGTCTGCCTGCTAACTGCTGGGAAATTTGGCAGCCAAACCTCAGTAAGATCAGGGGCATGCACAGTCGGTTAACTAAATATGTGTGTGTTAACCTTGGTGCGTTTTCTTTCTAAGATTTTTTTTTTAAGTGTCCCTCCTTTTTAAAGGTTCTGACAAATTCTTCTGGAATAGCCATCTTGTCCATATTGCCATGCTGTCAAGCCCTTTGCCAGAGGCGCTAAATAAACAAGCAAAGGACAGGTAGTAACAACTGAACCACAAAGTTAGAGAATGACTAAGATTCTATTTCCCCCTAATTCTTGGTTTATGTAACAGATTATATCCAGGTCTAAATCAGAATTGGGGAGAGAGAGAAACTCTGCTGGATCAGCCTGATTCTGCTACAGTGGGTTATAAACGCAAATCAATAAAATAAGTAATGGAACACACCTGAAATAACTGGTTGGGAGAAAAAAGAGCTTTTAGCCTGGTAAAGCATTATTCAAAGGGGATTTTCCAGTGTTAAAACTGAAATGCTCTTCACTTTGCAACATAGATTTATTTTACTGTACTGTATCAAGACCTGAGAGACACTTTCGGAAAGGGTGCTGCTTACTTTTTCTGGGAAAGAAAGGAAAGAATGAAGGGAGATATATTAAAAGCCTGATAGTGACAGCTGAATTATACACTTGCCTTCTTTCTTCTCCTCCTCTTTTTCTTTTCTTTGGCAGCTTGTGCTTGCTTGTGTTCCCACACCAGATTAGTCAGGTTAGCCACATATTCATCAGTTTGCTGTAGGAGGTATGCCAAACGCCTGTCTTTCTTCTGATCGATCAGTTTACGGTAGCCTTCTTCATCTTCAGCCTAGCAATGCAGGAAAATCAAAAATTAATGTTGTATGTCACCACTGAGTACACAGTTACCTATAATAGATCCAGACTGGTTTAACTGAGGTGGAAGGAGCAATTTCAACCACTCGCATATGTCCTAGTGTCAACTAAAGTAAAGGATGGGGGAAACCAACCATACTTATTTACTACTTGGCTGCCATTTTAAAAATGATTGTAGAAATGGGGGTAAGACAATCTTTAGATGTGTTCTGATATTCCCCCAAATAAAACAATTGCCTATATTCTGTTTGAGATATTAAAAACATTTCCCCAAGTGTTCGAAAGGGCTTAGGATGCTATGTGCTAAGTGCTATGTTGGCATATTTCAGAGATATGCCAGCAGAAACCCCTGCTGGAGTCATGCTGGTGTAAGTGCTACACTGGACGTGGGCAGCATTGGGTCATGCCATGGGAGGAGCAGAACACAGTAGGGTTCCTAAATTCATCCAGCACTAGATACAAACCAGATGCTGGTATAATGTTACACCACCAAAAACCCTGATATAGGTCAAAATCATCCCATGGGATGACACATGCTAGGGAAAAGAGTGTCCCCCTCACACTTCCCAGTCTGTTCCCAAACGTAGCAGCAGCTTAGGATGTCAACTAAATCTGCAGCATCCAGTCACATTTTGCTGCTCATTGCCATATAACCTCCAACCTGGACACCCACAGTTTACATGACAGAGTGTACAACATGCGACTATACTTCTCTGGCTTGGGTCACGCACATTTGAAGCAAAGGGCCTTGAACTGTGTTGGTGGGAACTGCACATAAAGGCCAGAGCACCAACAGCCAAGGGAGAAAATAAGCATTAATGTTGCTTTTGCCTAACTATGCTCTGTTCAGAACCTTTACAGGTATTCTCCTACAGGACACAGATACCAAAGGGAAGACCTTGCTTCCCCAGTGGGGGTTTGCAAGGACAATGCACCCCATACAGGTAAGAAAGGAAAGAACAACCGCAGCATTTTGTACTGCTCTCACACCACCAAAATATAATGCACATGTTGAGAACCACACTGACTGGCCTCTTATCAAATGTCACTCTTACCATCAGCCTTCTCATTCTTTCTTTTTCAATCCTCTCTGTTTCTTTCTTCTGTTCACGCTCAGTGTTAGCATGCCAAGTAGCAACGGCTTTAGAAAGTTTCTGAATTTTGCCAGCAACAGACCGATGGTACTCTTTAAAATCTTTAGCATGTTGCAAGATGCTGTTGAGATATTCCTGTAAAACAATTAAATACTAAATAACTCTGTATGTGTGTAAATTTCCACAAGCCCAGTATGCTAGAGGATTTCGATATATTCGTTTTTTTCCTGACTCAGCACTAAGCTGTATAAATGGCAAGGATATGTACTTAGCTCAGAAATGAGCAGGTTAACTCCTGAATAGCAGTTACGCTTTAAGCTAAGATGGTAACCTCAGTCAAACCACACACACATCTGCTTTAGTTGAAGTGCATATTGGTTAAGCTGACACTACTCAGGCTTATGTGTCATCCTGAAGTGGGACATACTTTAAATGCTAATTAAGTGCTGTCTTGCGATGATACTTGGGTTTGAATAATTGAGCTAAGAACACAGTAAAGCCAGTTTTCAGTCACCTCCTCTGGACTCCAGGAATGTCTGAAAAAAAGATTTCAATCTCTGATATAAAATGTAATTTATATAAAAAGTGAGGGAGTGCTGAACTCCTGTTAAAGGGTGTGACAGGACAATGGTCTCCTCACCACACCACTAGCCATTTGCTGGGTCAACTTCATTCAGTTATACATTTCACTTAAATATATATGATTAAAGCTGTCATTAACAATGCAGTCTTAAGCAGAGTTACGCCCTTCTAAACCCACTGGAGTCAAATGACTTAGAAGGATATAACTCTGCTTAGGATAGTACTGTAAACATCCCAGCAGTTACATTATTCGTCTAAACAGCGCAAAAAAGCAAGAGCACTAGGTGCTGAAAACAAAAGAAGTTGCATAATAAGCAAGTAAAATAGTAAATTAAAAGTATAAAAAACTCAGTCAAGGAACGTAAAACTAGCTATAAGCCCTTGTGCATATAAAGCATCTTCACCAACCACCTAAAATTAAACAACCTTGACACCAGGGGAACAGGCCATGTAACCATCCATTTTATCACTGAAAATGGGAAAACACAGAGCACAGCCTCTTATTTCATCTGCTGGGAAGATTCCTTCGACAGCAGTCCGTCAATCAGACACCCTACTTTCAAGCAATTTATGGCCTTAAAAGGTTAAAAAACATATGATGCCCATACATACATCTGCAGACATTGACCTAACAACATCCCCCATTATACACACCTGCTTCTTTAAGGGGGAAAGCAACTACATGCAGAGCAGATTGAGTTCTCACTCCCCAATAAACTATATAGAAAACTATACCTGTGTTTTGCTTGGATTAATTTTCAGAATCAGCAGCTGAGACCTTGATTAGAGGTCCTGCTTTACGTGCCCCCAAGTTTCAAGGCAAGGTGGCAAACTATGGAAAGCAGAGCTTTCTCTGTTCTGGTGCCTCAGTTTTGGAATTCTCTGGTGTCAGAAAACTGGAAAAAGACTTTTTTCGCTTTCTTAGGTATCTGCTGATGGCTAGCTTTATATACATAGCCCTAGCTAGATGCTGTTATGCTCACATCTTTATAGGGTTGTTTATATTAGGGATGTGTTTATGATTGTTGTATGTTTATGGTGTGGCCTTTTATTGTTATTGTTGCTGCTGAATTTATTCTATTAGTTTTACTTTTTGTAGGATGCCACAAGAACCTTGGTTAAGTTCACAGGACTGAGAATGCAACTCAAGTATGCAGCCTTCAACAAACAAACAAATTCATAATCAAATAAACTATAAAGGGCACAACTAGCTGCTTTCAACCAAAACAAAAATACTTAGTGTAACAGACCAAAAATCCAGTTTATGAAAATGACTATACCTGGTGCTTTTGTCTACGTTTTCTCTCCTGTTCTATCTTCTGTTGTTTCTCAAGTTTTTCCGTCATTCGGGCTTCCCTCAGAGTTTGGCGCTTGCTGCGTTTGTAGGCCTTTGAGTTCAGAGCAGTCTCCAAAGTTGTGTCACGACGCATGCATGCCACAACCTCTTGTCTTAACTGTGAACCACAAGGGAAAAATGTTAAAAAGCAAATAATCTCTCAAATAAAGCAGCTTAACTGAATAAAGAGAAATGAGTTTTAAAGAAAGCTGCTTCTTTTTCTTTTTTGTTTTAGGATTCCTCCAATTATGACTAGACTCATAGAGTCTGCTGAATTGATTAAGTTAACCAATCTGTTGGAGCTGAGAAGATTGCCAAAATAGAAATTTATTTAAATAAAATTCATTCTTTTCTGGAATGTATACACAAAATAGTACAAATCAACATGATTCAGTGTAAATTACATATACATACATATACATAAACCTTTATTGGCATAACACAGGAACAATAAGGAAGGCAATGGAACAAATAAATTAATAGAACGAATTACTAGATCATAACAAGTTACATCAAGTTACACCAACAGGGGATCATTTTTAAACTTCTCAAGAATAGTGAACTCAGTTAAAAAAATATAACAATCCAAATGGCACAAGGGGGGATTAAGACTTATGCGCCCTTACCCTTAGCTTCCAAACATAAGCTAAGAATTCAGCAACAGACAGAGTAATTGCCGATAACTTATCAGACAACAGAATTTTAAGATCATTGTCAGTCGAATTCCTTGTGGAAGGTAAGTGGGGACTGATCAAATAGCTGCGCATGGGCCCCTGCCACACGGCAGGGAAACGACGAGGTAAAGCGCGGCTAAATAGAGCCGCTCCAAAGTTGAGACGCTGCGGCGGGATCCCACGGATTCCCTGGCCGCAGCGCCTCTTCTCCCCGGCAAGAGCAGACGCCGGGGAGGACGAGCCAGATGGGAGGGGGAGGCTGCCGAACTGCGCATGCCCGAGCATGTTTATACTTAACAAAGAAGTTGAACAATAAGACTTTTGGGAGGGGAACTAAAGTGCAGATGCAACCAGTATTTGATAGTGGTGATCCACGCCCGTGATTCAATAAGATGAAAACCTAGCTCCGCACAGAGGGAAAAATAGGAAATGGAGTTAGGAAAACCTAGAATCCTGCGAAAGAAGGTAGAACTTATTAGTTCTATTCTTTTATTAAAATTTTGAATCCATATAGGTATCCCATACAGTAGACGGGAAATAACAGACGCCTGAAAAATCTGGAGAGCTGCCGAAACAAATTGATTACCTTTTAAATTAAAAAAACGGATTAAAGCTGCAGTCTTATTCCTAGCTAAACTAAGGGAATGATCTCTATGAGGGCACCAACTTAGGTTGTAATGAAACAAAACTCCTAAGTATCTGAATGATTTGACCTGTTCTATTTCTTTTCTCTCTATTCTCCACTGTTCACTCTTCCAGGCTTTGGAGAAAACCAATATTTTTGTTTTATCAAAATTAATAGAGAGTTCCTACTGCAATAAATTGTTTAAAAGACATTTTGTTTCATAGGCTATTTAGGAGCATAGCTGTTCTTTTAAGAACAACCCTTCTTGTATCTAATAACTGGAAAACTCACTTTCTTTTAGGAAAAAAATATTACCTGGCGCTGGAAATTCAGTAGCCTAAGTGCCTTCAGCTCCACTGTGGCTTTAGTTCTCAGATCTGGAGGCAAGGAGCCAGGCAAATTTTCTAATTCCTGAATTCTGTGAGCAATTCGAGCCTGAAGCCTAAGCAGGTACAGATAAAAAACAAAGATTTATTTTTTAAAAACATTTCTACCCTGCACACATCAACATAGTTCTCAAGGCACCTTCCAAGTAACCTTAAGAACAAATATTCATAAGAATCAATAAAAAGGGTCAGGATGCCAAAAAATAAAAACATAATAGGACAAAGAGACCAGTAGTAAACCATGTTATTCAAACCCAATGAAGGCAGCAGAGCAAATACAAAACAAAGCAAAATAAAAAAATAAAATAAAGCAAAAAATCAAAATTACCAGAATCATTCAAATGCCTGGGAAAACAAATATTTTCACCTGGCACTAGGCAAATCCCTGTGGACAGGAAGTTCCACAATCACAGCACAATAACAGGGAAGGTTGTGTGCATGGTGCTCACCCATTTTACTCCTAAAGGAAAAAAATAGACAGAGCAGAGCCTCTCAAATAAATCTTAACCCACAGAAATTGTTATATGGGAGTAGACAGTTCTCCTTCCTGGACCCAGACTACTTATATATGGGCTACTTATATATGGGAAAATAGTTTTATTTGCTAAATCCATGTTTATTTGACAGTCTAGAAACATCTCTATAATCCCATGCAAAGTTATTTTGGAGTAAGTCCCACTGAACTCAATGGCACTTGCTTCTTAAATATACAAGTAAAGGATAAGGCAATATGAACTAGGGTTGCCAGGTCCTGCCTTGTCACTGACAGGGGACATTCCTGGAGGAGGAAGGGACGTCCCGATGTGATGATGTCACACAGTAGTGATATCATCATGTTAGGGATGCAGCCCCATGGAAGTTGCTGTTGGTGCCGGCTTGCAGGAACCATTTAAAGGGACTCTTCCCTTTAAATGGTTTTTGCAATTGGGTGCACCAGTGCCGCACACACCTGAACTCCAAGCAGCGAACTCGCCACTTGGAATTCAGGCACATGCTTCCCCCACTGCAAAAAGCGTTTAAATGCTTTTTGCAAGCAGGGGCTGCGCACACCTGAACTCCAAGCGGCAAATTTGCTGCGTGGAGTTCAGGTGTGTGGCCAGTGGCCACTCCTCTCCCTCCCCTCCTGCAAGGGGGGGGCATGTACTCCTGCCGTTTAGCTGGAGGGCTCTTTAAATCTCGCAGGAGGGAAGGGAGAAGAGTGGCTGCTGGTGGCTGCTGTTGGGGGTGGGGCTTCCCCCACTGGCCATCCAGCTGGCAGTGTGCAGGAGCCTGCGAAATCAGTGGATCAGGGGTTCTGTAAATCCCTAGTATGAACACATGAAGCTGCCTTATACTGAATCAGGCCCTTGGTCTATCAATGTCAGTATTATCTATTCAGGATGGCAGAGAGTCTCCAGGGTCTCCACTGGAGGTCTTTTACACCACTTATCACCAATGTTCCCTCTAATTTCTGGAGTCTTGTGAGCAAAAATTCTACTTTCTGAGCTCCTGGCATTAAAGATGTGAGTGAGTGATTTGGCTACTGCATAAATTAGTTTGCTCTGGAGCCATCCTTCCTGAGCTCAGACAAAAATGTGTGAGCTGGAGGCTAAAAATCTGTGAGCTAGCTCACACTAACTCAGCTTAGAGGGAACACTGCTTACCACCTGATCCTTAACTGGAGATACCGAGATCTGAACCCCAGGACTTCTGCATGCCAAGCAGATGCTCTACCACTGAGCCACAGCCCCCCAAGAATGTTTCTTGGGGCATGCATGCACACACGTGTGCGTGCACACACACACAATACATAAAAATCCTCCAAATGCCAATATTCAGGCTATTTGGGGGTAAAAATTGCTTGCGAATTACCAGTGTATCTGAAAATTCTTTGGACTGCAAGGAAGAGAAATAGATTTGTTGGGGGGGGGGGGAACAGGAAAGAATCTCCTAACAGCCTCAAAAGGCAAGTAATTTTCTCACACTTTTTCTGATGAGATTTGGACATAAAACACACACACGTTCATTTCTGGTAATTAATAATGAAAATGAAAATGCACTAAAAATGTAGTTCTGGTCATTCCATTCAAGCATCAATAAATTTATCCCATTGTGAGCTATCCCTGTCATATCTTTGATCTCTTATTATCACACTACTAAGAGGCAGGAATTAATGTTATTGATACTAATTGAGTAGCTGGCAGCTCTGATATGAAAACTTGTTAACTAAGCATAATGTTAAGAGTTCTGTCAGTCCAGCACCAGACAGACTATTGAAGAACAATACTTTTGGAAGCCAAATGAATTCTAATACTACATGGGTGCCAATGTACTTCCACTCCAACACCAGGGCAGGAAGCCAAGTGCTGCAAAACCTAGGCATTACATGGTCCAGCAGCTCTGCAACAACTGACTGGAGCAGTTGCCGCAGTTCCCTCTGAGAGCAGCACCCAGTTGTAGGAACAATGGCACATCGTAAATGCCTGGCTCAGAGTTACAAAGACTATTTGAACGGGCTGCAGCACCAGCAGTCCTAGATGCAGAACCTCTGGGCCACACAGTATCCCAGGTCCCAGAAATTCCTGAGAACTGCACTGGAAAGCAAGCTCATTTAGAGTTCCCATTTATCAATGCTTCTGCTATCTTGATCTATATATTGTAGATGAATGCCCAGTCTTGATCCTTCCACTGAGCTGAATGGGGGGAACACTTCTGCCCATAGGACGTTCATGTGTGAGAAACAGCTCCTGAAACTGCAAGGAGCCATGGGATAGGCATGCTGATTAACTTTAAACTATACTATTAGCAAATTTATTTTCAGAAAGGTTTTAAACATTAATAATCAAAATATGAAACCAGGATTCTTTCCTTTCTTCAGCATCAACTAATGCAGTTTTCAGCAGTCTCACTGAAGCAACACTTTGCTTTTATTTACTGGCCACAAATATTGTGAAAACAGGCTCCAGGTCAGTGCATAAGCTATGGTTTCAGACAGACAGCTGCCTTTATTGATGAGACATTTGTGACACTGTTGGGGCAGAACAATAATGTGCTTGTTCCATAGGACCCTCATACCAAGGACTGTTTCTAAGTGAAATTCAGTACACAGGGTACAATTGGGTATTTTTACTGAAAAGCTCTTTCCACAAAGCATAGATACAGATATATAATGGAATTAACAGCTCCTGCAAGTGAAGTAGAAGGGAGGAAAGCAAGCACAAATTGCAATGAGGACTGGTTTATACATTCCATAAGATCAAGTGGTAAAACGTTTCCTGCATGGTATCAATTCAGGTCTTACATATTTAGACAATTCAATATGGATAAAACTGTGCATGTAGAAAACTGGCATGCCAGGGGGGAAAAATCAGATTAATCTCTCCCTTGATATGCTATCTTTCTATGGTCATGGTTTTTTTCCACTTAAAGGGGAACTTTCAAAGATGTTTCTACCCCACCCCACAGCCTGATAGGGTGCAGTTTAAAAAATGGTTTAAAATGCTTTACTGCTTTATTTTGCCCGCTGTATAAACTGGCCTGAGTCAACACACTAGGAGGAGCAAGGGCACATCAGAATCTCATGGACACAAAAAAATTATATTCAAAAGGTGGATTTAAAATGTTTTTTGCTGGTGGTGACAAACAGTTTAGCATATATTTGTGTTTAAAACCCTGCTCTCTCCGAGACTATGTCTCCTAACTTCAGTGGAATACGGCAGGTATACACAGAATTCTAAACTTTCTGAAACAACCAAAGAAGATGTAATACTACATAATGACAGAAGCCTCATTTAGTATCCTCAAAAGTACAGAAAATTGAAGCAGAATTAGGTCAGACACGTTTTTCATACAGATTGAGCAGTAAATCAGGAAGGCCTACTGAACTGGCAAGAAAGAATTCCATTAAAGGCAACAGATATTTGTTCAGGTCCAGAGGAGAAGTTTATGATTCCTAGTAGGAAAGTTATTTGTTCAGAATGATGCTGGTACATTTTGTTCCTGATAATAACTGTATGACACTAAAAAAATTGTGCCACTCAGTAATTGTCCTGCTTTGTGACTGAAGGAGGGGACCCTTAGAACAGTAACAAGGAAAAATTACCATACAAAATTACCATGTTTGGTGACTGTTCTACCTCCTTGCATTATGAAAGATATAAAAGCACCTCTTTGTGTCCAAAAGAGAGGGAAAGAAAGGGAAAGAAAGAAAAGGCCAAATGCAGCAACTACCTAGTACTGCCCAATGGACCCCTTCAGAAAGTCTTGTTCCATAATGTAGGTTTTAGAGAAGTCAGGACAGGATAGGGAAGAAAAGGTCCACTGAATCCACCAGAAAGTACTTCTCTTTAATGAACTCATTCCTATCTAATGGCTATCATTGGATGGCTCAAGGCACATTTCTAAATTAACGCTATTAACCCATTTTACAAGCTGTGGTTTGCTAGTCAAGGTCAATCATGGGACAAAAGTGTTGAAAGCAGTTAAAGGTTATTTGAATTAATCTGCATAAACCAGAGATTTTAAAATACATTCACTGTAAACATTTCCTGATGCATGAAAAACCTTTAGAGGGTTAGGCCAGAGTTCCCTCTGCTTTTTTTAGGTTTAGTAGAACCCAAATATTTCCTGTACTAGAAACAGACTTTTCATTTCAGTCTGTTGCTGCTTTTCAAACTGACCACAAGTTTCATGCCATTAAAGCTTTGCGTGAGCTGGGCTATTCATAATGAATAATCTCCCAAGCCAAAAGACAACACGAAAAACATTCCTAGTACATATACTTGACTAACAACATAGAACACATGGGCAGATCAACTAAAGCCCACAGAGCGAATAAAGAAAATCCACAAATTGACATATTGTTAAAGAGGTGTTCAGTTCAACATTGTTTTATGCTATAAGGTCCTTTGGTGCTCTTCTGCTAGATGGAACGATTCCATATCTCTAGTCCTAAAGTTACCCCTCCTTTAAAGACATCTTTTCAGAAAGTTACTACTATTTAGCACTGCTGGAACCCTATAAATTAATGTATAATTTTGCCATCTTTTAAATGGTTTTAAGCAATTTGTTGTGATAATTTGTTTTAATGGTTCTGTAAATTCTCTTGTTGTCACCCAGCCTGAGCCTGCTTGCAGGAGGGGGATATAAATCGAACCAATAAACAATAAATAAAATCTCTTTTTCTGTTACACAGACCAGTATTGGTGCCTTTGAAAACACAACTGGCCAAGAATCCTAGGCAAGTGTTTGCCATGTTTTCAGAGACACACAAATGCCCTCCAAATGTTACAGAAAATAACTCTTCAAAGTGGAAATATGGGGGCGGGGTTTCTTTTGATATAAAATAACTATAAGACTGTAAGCTGTTTGGGCAGGAAAATTAGCACATTGTTGATGCTATGTAGATGCAGAATAAGAGCTGCATTGTCTTAAATATAACTTTATGGTGAACATGAAATGCTGACAATTACTTCATTGCATCAAGGGTGGGAGGAAAAGGACAGCAGAGAGAAAGTCCAAATTTCTAAGACTGGCACCTGATTTGTTAACCAAGGCTACAGGAAACTAGTGTTACTGGTAACCCACTCATCTGAACAGAGACCTGCTAGATAAATTAGCATGCAACAGTGGAGAAAACATCATTTGTAAAGCCAAATGAAACAAATGCACCTAAGAGATACATTGACACCAAATGGTTACTACTGCCATTAATCAGAAATTCACTTTATTTTCACCTTGCTAAAAACTGAAGTATGTTTTATATAAAAGCTGCTGCCAAACAGCTTTCACATAAAAACTAAGAAAGGAACCTGTATTTTTTTTAAAAAAATCACTACAGGTAATACCCTATACATGAAATCATAATTAATGTTTTATCTTGAAAGATTTTATGAGAGTCAACTTCCACCTAAAATAAATGCATCAAATACTTAAATCATGCTCAACACCTAATCCTTGGAACAGATGATAAAGACTGCTCTTACATTCAGGGGGAAATGTTAAAGGCTATTAAGTCATTCAGTCATAAGAAACAGCCAAGAGGAAAGCAGTTTCTTGAAGCTGCCATTTACAAGCGCTTCAGGGATTTAATCTAACCCTGTCCAAAATAGGTTTAATTAATCTCTACAGTGCAGTTATTTGTCTTCATCCATGTAGAAAGTGAGTTTTGAATTGGAACTAAAGATAAAGATCTTCTTGCAAAAGGCATTCCCACTGAACACAACTACAAAAGTAACATTAAAAAGGAAGAGGGTTTTTGGGATGGGTGCCATATAGCAGGATTGATTACTCCAAGAGCCAGAAAAGCTTTCTACTAGGGATACTTTTGTCACATGATAAAAAGGATCCATTTGACATAATCCACTGTGCTCATAATTTCAGGACAATAGTGTGTGCAATTTTTTTATTAGCACAGAGAAGAAAAGAAGCTTTACACACATTGGAATGACATTAAATTACACTGCACATTATTAGTTTTACAAGACTTATTCATTAAGATTAAAGCAGTACTTTCTGGGGGTGTGTGTTAAGATTGCTTTGTAAGAATTATAGCATAAATTTACCATGCTGGCCCTGTTTCAAACAGCAAATAAGATGAACTCCCCTTTTCCCATTACCAATATACAAGTTTTATACAGAGATTTTAAAGATACATTTTTACTATATTCTTTGTTAATCATCTAACAATGAAGGATCACATAATCTCAGTTTAGACCAACAGATAGTGCAACATATGTTAAAGAGAAAGAATCCAACAAAGGGACCATTCATTGGTTGAGATCATCAGCACTATTTTTGTGAGAGGACATGATCCACAATCACCTGCCATTGCCCTGACATCTCCCCCCAGAGCAAGCACAGAATGCTGAGCCATGGCAAACCACAGCCATAACCAGGCTTTGAGACCACAACTGCCAGCACTGCATACTGGGGGCCAGAGTTGTCACAGTGGCTCCAAGCCTCAAACAAGGAAGGGGGGGGGAGGAAAGGAAGGAAGGAAGGAGGAAGGAAACAAGGAAGCCTTAGAAGCAGCAGGAACTCCTTTGGCTGTGCAGTTGACAATTTGAGCTGGAAGAGTCTCTTGCTAAGTATAAAACATCAGGAAAGTATGAAAGCCTTAGGAGCCCATTTGATCAACACCCTTCTTAGTGAGTGCTGTTACACCAAACTGCAATCTCACCTAAGCAATTTTGTAAACAGGTATTTTAAAAACCTTGTAGTTCTATTACTGGGCAAGATGTGGAATACCTTTGTGCATGAATCCAGAAGTAAAACCAGACCCAACGGATAAAAGCATTGAAGAAAAAGAAAATGCATATTATGTGCAACATGGCTGTAAATCAGTTCAGCTAACCAACAGCTAAAGCAGCTACCCAAGAACGATAAACTTGCTTTTGTTTAGTGTCTGCAAAATTATAAGGGCTGTCAAGCACGTGGCAGGCCACAATACAGGGGCTTAGATTCCACGGTGAATTTCCACTAATGGAAGGCATTACCATCTATAGAATAGGACTCCCTTGCCTCTCTGCTCCCACTGCAGCCTAAAACTCCTCCTTGGCAGTCTGCTCCTGGGAGACAGCGGATCCCCAGGAGCAACAGGAGTGGGGAGTCGGAGGTCTTCAGTGGGACAGATAGGCAAGAAGTAGCTGTAGGATCTGCTGCCACCAAACAGCACCTTTTCTACTAAATTCAGCTAGCCGGAAGCAAGTCCCATTGAACTTAGCTTATGATTGTGCTCTAAGACTGTGCCCTGTTGCTGCCAACAGATGGTACAACTCCATTTCAGAAGATATGTTACATCATAATTTCCCCCAACACTAGGCTTCTGAACTATCAACGAAATGTGCAGATGTAGCCTACTGGGCTGCCATCATTTTAAAATCTCCCTCTTTCAAAAAACCCACAAAGGCACAGAAAGCCTTGTCCTCCTTTGTGTCAGGTCAAAATCCTGAGCTTTACCTTTGTACAAACTAGCCTATGTTTAGAGAAACACATTTTGCAACGGAGATCTTTTATCCTATCATACTTTAATACCAACGAGAGACTCACCAGAAGTCAAAATAAGAAAAGAAGATATATTGATTCAAGGTACCTTCTATGTTTCTGTTTACAAATGCCTTTTACGACCAGTGAATACTGCTGAAGTAACTCTTATGCCAGATCCTACGGCCCTTGAACACCTGCCATTTTGAGTGTTTCTCACTGGTTAGTCCAACAGAGCTTAACAGTACAGCACAGTAGCACTGCTCTATTCCTCTGTTGATTCAGCATTTATGTTTTAATTTGCCCAACAAACATAGTAGCAGTTTTAAAACACATATGATCTCCAGAAAACATAACATAAAAAAGCCCAACAATCATTAAAAGTTTAAGAAACACACACACTCTAATTAGGGCTATTACCTGTATTCTCGCTCCTGAAGTATTTCAACAGGATCCAGGCCTTGAGGCTTTTGAATTGGGCTGATACGGTTCTGCTTTTGCTGCAGCGGAACAATAGGAGATGGCTGTACAGCTGCGGGCTGTGGTACAGAAGGACCGGGCATTACTGCAGAAGGCTGAGTAGCTGCAGGGGCAGGTGAAGGTCGTCCACTAGGGGGTGGAACAGCAAGCTTCTGAGGTGTACTAGAAGCACTCAGATCTGCTCCTTGTCCTGCAAAATAAAACATATTAATATTGGGGGGAAATTGGCCAAGTATATCTAAACAAAATAACAACCTAAGTCATGTGATCAAAAAAAGTTCCAACCATTAATTCACTACAGAGGAGGAAAACATCGTAATGGAGGAAATAACTCTAGAGAAAATATTTGCAGAAGTCTGAAAGCAATTTATTTCCTAACCCTCCTGACTAAACACAAAGCTATCAGTTCTCAGGTATGCCAACAGAATCTTTGAACTCTTTATTCTTATATAAGCAAATGGAAAGCTTACTAAATTAGGGAAACATGTATGATTGGCTACATCTGGACTTATTATAATCCCAGTCCTTTCTGTGTGAAATAAATGAGACCCATGTAAAAGCAAAACTTGTCTAACTCTGTGTGTGTGTGTGTGTGTGTGTGTGTGTGTGTGTGTGTTAAGTGCCGTCAAGTTGCTTCTGACTTATGGTGACCTTCAAAATATCCAGTTAACAGCCATGGCTTCCTTGACTGAGACAATCCATCTCATGTTGGGTCTTCCTCTTCTCCTGCTGTTTTTCCTAGCATTATTCTCTTTTCTAGTCTATGAGCCTGCTTTTCACAGCTCCCGCCCCAATATATTAAACATGCTTCTACACTGTGAAGGTTGTAAATAAATGTGCAAAGTTTATTTTACATGCACCTATTTTATTGTTGATAAGATATGTACACATTGGGACGATGTCTTTTTTGTGTAGTATACGTATCCATGAAAGTTAGTGATGTGCTAGTACACATACAGCACATTCCTGAGCATCTCTAGTCAGATGTATGTCCTGTGATACTCAGTGGGGCTTACTCCCAAGAAATTGTGTATAGGATTGGAGCCATAGAGCAGTCAACATTCCCTGCTGGCTACATATGAAACATTTACAATAAATGTACACTGTTACCAGTAGTTAACAACATATTAGAAGTCCAGCGGTAAAAGTCAGAAAGTCCTGTATTTGACAGTAAACCTGAAGGACAACCAAATGCCTTTGCTGAATGACTGAATTTCATCCTAATTTCTATCCTTTACTGGTAACAAGATTACTTTTACCAAGGCATACTGGGAAATATCCAACACAAGCTTCATAACACATTCATGCCTCACATTTATCAGAACATCTCCAGGAACACCAAGGTCCTTCATCAAACCACCAACTTTTATCACTAGTGAGTGTCAGCACTCATGCAAGACCCATGTCTAGAAAGATAAAGAAATGAATTGTTTTTTAAACTTCTGCACTTATTTGCTCTAAAGTTATTTCAGATATAATAAAGAACTTATTAACCTAACTTACCAAGGCCAAGGAAACAAGCAGTCCCAGAACATGTTTTTACAAAAACCTCAGCTGGAAGCAAATTATGAACTATTTCTTCCACTGTAGTCGTGGTCAGGGTGCCTTTCTGAGACACCACGACTATGAAAAATCTTTTAGAAATAGTGGAACAGGATTGAATGGCTGGAAACAGTTCCCACTGGAAATGGAAAACTTCATTATCCCTTGCTGCCTTTCATTTTTAAAAATTTGTCCCGTATTCTGGATCATTTGTTCCTTTTAATGACTACTGTTCCTTAATTAGTCTTCTATTGTTCTTTGCACAAATGTGTAAAGAACAGTACTGATGACAGAGGAAAAAAATAAGGTAAACCCTAGGGGCTACACACGTAATTGAAATAAACTAACCACTTGTTATTGCCACCATCCAATTAAATTATTTTTTAATCAGGTTCCTGAACTCCATCAGGAAGAGAGAAGAAGAAGAGATTGGATTTGTACCCCGCCCTTCACTACCCAAAGGTGTCTCAGAGCGGCTTACAAACTCCTTTCCCTTCCCCTCCCCACAACAGACACCCTGTGAGGTAGGTGGGGCTCAGAGAACTCTTGACAGAAACTGCTCTTTTTCAAGAACAGCTGTGCCAGAGTTATGGCTTGCCCAAGGTCATCCAGCCTTGGAGGAGTGCAAGTGGAGGAGTGGGGAATCAACCCCGGTTCTCCCAGATTAGAGTCCGCGCACTTAACCACTACACCAAACTGGCTCTGGGCATCTGGGCAGCTGGGCATCAGAACACTTCATTTGTTATTGACAAATCTTATGTATACTGTAAGCAAGACTGCTTAGGATTTCAGGAGATGAAAGAGTGGGGTTTCCTGAAATTTATTCAAAGGAGACTATGCGCTACTGAAAGATTTTCCACTGAAACAATAAATGGACTCCGCCTCTCAAAAGATAGGTAGAACAATGAAGAAGCTATTAAAAATCAGGCTGAAAAGTTTTTAAAAAGAGAAAAAGACACACACAGTATTTTTCAGCAGATGTGCTGCTGCAAACACAGTAACAGTTTAGTATTTCCAGGACTAGAAAAATCTTATGCTTGTCTTGAAAGAAAAGCTTGCTCTAGCTCTACAGACTGTACTCATGCAGTAATAAACTGTAAGTAGCACAGGAGAACTCTTACATGTGCGACCAGGGCGAGATCCTTCTCAGTGGCGGCCCCTACCTGGTGGAACGAGCTCCCGGAGGAGATCAGGGCCCTGCGGGACCTTATGCAGTTCCGCAGGGCCTGCAAGACGGAGCTCTTCCACCAGGCTTTCATATAGGGGCCGCCGCTGCCACCACCACCAACGGAGGCAATACCATCGGGATTTGGGATCGCCCTGGGATGCTCAGCCATACATTGTGCGGCATGAACAACATGGGATTGGAACGATCTGCTGGACAGTGGTACCCCAAATGGGGCTGACTGGAAGATGCCACCATAACATCTAAGACCATCTTGTCTACTGAAGCACTTTTTACTATTATTGATATATTGTTATAGTTATTATTTTAATGTTTATTGGATTTTATATATGGGCGTCTGCCCTCTTGTTAGCCGCCCTGAGCCCGCTTGCAGGGAGGGCGGGATAAAAAAACCTAAATAAATAAAATAAAATAAAATAAATATACCAGAGAAGGGGCGTTGGGGGGAGTGCACTAGATTTTGGCCCCTGGAGGAGCTGTCACTGATGCAGAACCATACCACCAACATTCTATAGCAAACGTGAGCTTTTAGAGGGAACAACTTACCCTGCTTTTGTTTGCCTGCCCCTTACCCAGGCCCAACCAAGTAAATGTCTTAATTTAAACTTGATATGCTATAGAACAGGCTTACCTTCTGGCCAGGTTTTTGGGGCTATAGCAGCTGTATGTCCTGGCATTACTGAAGCAGCTCCTGGCCCAGCTGCAGGGCCACCCAGTGGTAGAATCCCCATTGCTGCAAATAGTAGATAAAGAGATGGAATTAGCCCCTTTCTTTGGAAGTGGCTTTAAGGCCATTGAGAGGAAACAGAATATTGAAGGATTATTCTATATTCTTAAATGCAAGCCTGTTGAAACTCTGCCGTGATTAAATATGGATTGAAAAGGATAATTGCTTGCTACAATAAATGCAATTGTTGCAATATGGTAAGTCTCTTTAAAGTCAACAGGTGCCTGTACATGTGTGAACTCTCATAAGGACCCTGGCTTTGCCCAAGGTGATGAGAAAGGCTCCCTCATTTCTTTTATTCTGTAGATTGCTTAAAACAGAGTTGTTCAGGAGGGCATTATTCTAAAAGCAGCAGATCTATAATAAAAAGGAATGGTTCCGGAGGATGCTTCTTTTTAAAAAACAAAAAAATAAATAAAACAGGATTGTAGTCTGTTCTAATGTTTATTGTATGTATTACCCTGCTCTTACTGCATTGTCTTCTACTTTTGAAATTTCATTTTCTGCACTGTTTATATCTTATGTCTAATACCTTTTTCTTTTTGCATTGTTTTCCTAACTTCTGTAATACTAGTCCTATCACATTGTTAATTGGATGTCTTCTCCTGTATGATTACATTGATCTATACTGCGTGATTCACTTTGAGTCTCAGAGAGAAAAATAGGCTAACTAAATATATAATATTTTTAAAAAGCTTTCCTTTTAAGTAAAGAAGAGAATGGGATAATTATTGCTAAGAAAATAATACAATGAAGAAAAATTTCAGGTTCCTCATGGTGTGTTTTATGTAATTCTCCATTCAGAAATATATTATATAAATAATATAAAATTTTATAGATTTAATAATGCATAGAGATTTAAAGGTCCTGAGAAGGCTAAAAGCTAATTGCATGCCAAGAAGCCACAGTCCAGGCCACGAACCTTACTTACATGGAAAGATACCATTGGGATCAACAGAGCCCCATTCCTTCCCTCCCTGCTACCTCAGTGCATGCACACAGGCATCCATGGAAAAGCATACCAAAACATCACAGGAATGGCATGCCTGTGCACATTACTTCTCTTCCTCTAGCCCTTCTTCTCCACCTGCTTCAAGTTACTCAAGATCCAGATTTTGAGTAACCTGTGGAGACGAAAGGATGGCTGGATGGAAATATGGCAGACCTACCATTCCTTATAAAATCCTAGAGCACATCAAAGCAATATAGTTATTAGGGGCATGCAAAAAGGGTTTAGGTATTTCCCGATATTCCCAAATCCAAATATCGGTATGGCATTTGGATTTCGGAAATAATTGGGAAACCCAATTTTTTTGGCTCTATTATAACCTATGGGGACCATTATAGTCGTCCCCATAGGCTATAATGGAGATGAAGGGTTCCATCAGTGCTTAGTTCTTGTGGCTCTTCTTACACGCCCAGGGAAATGCTGCTCACCATGTTGGGGTCAGGAAGCAATTTTTCTCTAGGCCAGTTTGGCTGGAGATCCTGGAGGGGTTTTTTCCCCTTATCTTCTGGGTGTGGAACAGCAGTCACTAGGGGTGTTGTGGGGAGGTATGTGTGAATTTCCTGCATTGTGCTGGGGTTTGGACTAGATGACCCTGGAGGTCCCTTCCAACTCTATGATTCTACGGTAACTGGGGCTGGGGGGGGGGGGCTGCTTTTTGAGGTAGAGGCACCAAATTTGCAGCATAGATGCTGGTGCTTTTTCTCAAAACCTCCATCACCACAAGTTTCAAAAAGACTGAACCAGGGGGTCCAATTCTATGAGCCCCAGAAGATTACCTCATCATCCATTATTTCCAATGGAGGGGGGAAAGGCATGTAAAGGGAACACGGTCCCTTTAAATGTCTTTTGCAAGGCACACTGCTTAGAGTTCCATGGCGGTAGACCTGGCCATGGGGAGAATTTGTCAATCCGCCCTTGGCCCCTCTGGCAGGAGACCTGGCCTCCGGAGAACAGGCAGACTCTCCAGTCTCTTCTATGGTGGTAGACCTGGCCTCCAGAGAATAGGTCTACCCACCCCGGTCCACTACAGTGGTAGACTTGGCCACTGGAGAACTGGTCTCCCTGCCTCAGGACTTTCCCTTTAAAGGACATTCCCTTTAAATGTGGGCAGACTCAGAGAGTAAACTTAGAAGGCATTTAAAGAGGCCATGGTCTCCAAATGCCTTCTACAAGCCTCACCCAAATAAAAGCTGAATAATATTGGCTTTTATTCAGGCTTCACTATATTGGTAGCCGAAAACATTCTCTAATTTGTATTCGGCTTAAAAATACCAAAAAACCCACACCCAGCAAGTTACTGGGGGGGGGGGGTCAGATAAACCAAATGCACATGTCTAATAGTTATGTATGTGCCCTATGGTGATTCCCGTAAGACACTGAGCCCTCACCATCATCACACATCGTGTTTTGATCATCATTCCTTTCAATAGTGAAACTGATGATTCCTTGTCAATTAGTAGGGCAGAAAACAGGGAAACTCATAGACAACCAAAGGGTTTATGAATACTTTAAGAGTTCTCCAGAAACACAGAAAAAATGTAAATTAAAAAAATGATAAATAAAATCTATGTACTTTGGCTGTTTAGAGCATCTCTGTTGGTCTAAAGGATCATCTTGCAGTACTTAAAGTCTCCTTTGTTCCCTTCAGTAGACTGAATTAGCAATATACTGCCCCACCAATTATCTTCATATCTATATGACAAAGATTCTCTACTTTCTTGTGCACTACCTGGGTCCCCCTGTTGCTATACGTCCCCTTAACTGATATGCTATTTTCCTTTTTTCTTCCAATGATTGTTCTACATTGCCCTTACTATATTTGGCTGCTTGGTCAAGCAATCTACTGCCTTTATTGCCCTCATCTATGGAGCAAGGTAAGGTAGGAGAGGCAGTTGAGCAGTTTGTATTGGTAATTTCCACTGGTATTTGATTGTTTCTATTTGAAGAAGAGTTAAACCATTCAAAAGAAAAAAGAAAGTACTACCCCTTCCCCACAAAAATATTGGTATGCTCGCATGCAAGGAATTATTGTGAGGGGATGCATACCATGAGGTGTATCTCCCCTAACCACAATCCTCTCCCATCAATCTTCCTATACAGCAATAGGAGAAAGAGGAGGAAAATACTCCTGTTACTGTGCTGTCACTCATGTCTGGGGCAAAGTTAACAGTTTCCTGTTCACCTAGCCCCAAAACTCAGCAGTCAGTGTAATAATTGCAGCATTTCCCAATCTTGTATCGTCCCTTCCAAGCTCACCACCAGCAATTCCTTGCAGAAACCCAATTTGGTTTTTTAACAAGTATAAAGACACAAATGACACAGCACCGGAATAAAAAAGGTAGCTGTCCAATAAACAGTATGCAGCTACTTTACCAGGTGTCTTGTAAAGAGTCTGTTGTTGTTGAATCCCAGGTAATGTCCTCTTTCCTTGTACAGCAAGTTGAAGATTTTCAGGCAATGGCTGACCTCTAGCCAGCATTTTGTATGCTAGAATCTGTGCTCGGAGTTGATGCAGTTGAACAGGACTGAAAGGTGAAGGACCGCGGCTGGGTTGGCTCATAACTTGTGGATCTCCTGGGATCATGGGACCTGGCTGGCTTGGTGGCATCTGCGGTGGAGTTGGTCCTCCTCCAGACATTGGACTAGACACATGCTCTGGTGGTCCCAGAGGAGATGGATGAGGAGACATATAGCCTAATGAAGAAAACAGAAAATTGGTCAATTGTATTTTTCTTCATTTCAGTCACTAAGCACTGCCTATGTAATCTCTGAATAAAATATATGAAGCAAACACATCCCTCTATACATTACTTTTGCCTCAACAAACTTTCCTGGTTACTAGACCTGAGCTAATTTTAGTCCTTACCTCAAATAATTTGACTGTTTACTAAAAAAACTACAATTAAAATAATCATTAACAGGCTTTAATGGCTTTCCAAACAACAACACATAAGAGCATAAATTCTTTATCAATGCCAAGTTCCTTCCTTTAAATTCATCAGGTAGTCATTTGGAAATTTATTTCTTTGACTGGTAATGAAGATCATTTTGATCAACACTTGCTGATAAAACCTCTTGCCTACATTCCACCAGACTATTCTACATTAGCAAGGACAGGATCAGATGGTCCCAAGTTACCAACTTGCCCAGCTGGTGTGAGATGTCATTCAGCTTGTTCAGTCTGAGGAGGATTTTTGATGGTTTGAGGTCTATCACCTGCTTATACGACACCTGACCCCCTCCTGGCTTAAATCTGCCGGGAGGGGGAAGCTAACAGACTGAGTCTGGGAGACAGTAAATACTTCCCTGAGAGAGGAGGTGGTCACCCTTGCTTTGAACTGGGAACCTGCTCTGGATCCACGGAGAGCTGAATAACATCCAATCTAAATGTCCTATTCTTGAACACTGTCACTGGATGAGTGATGGCTGGAAAGCTTCAAGCAGTCCTGGCTGAACTGAATTATTTGGATCTCTTCCAATCTGGTTTTAGGCTTGCTTATATGACTTAAACAACCTTGGTTACCCTGGTGAATGATCTGCACCAGGAGATGAACAGAGGGGATACAACTGTTGATTCTCTTGAACCTCTTAGCTGCTTTCAATACCATTGATTATGGTGTCCTTCTGGACTGCCTTTCTGAACTGGGTCTGGGAGGTACCATTTTGTAGTGGTCTGGTCCTATCTGGAGGGTAGGTTTCACGAGGTGGAGGATGCAGCTTGGCCTCTGGATCGACATGGTCCCACAAGGTTTCACCTTGTTGCCCATGCTTTTTAACATATATGTGAAGCCGCTGGGAAAAGTCATCCAGAAATCTGGGCTAAGTTGCCACCAATATGCAGGTAACACTCAGCCCTACCTCATGCTTCCAGCCGATTCCAGGGAGGCTGTAGAAACCATGAACAGGTACCTGGAGGCAGCTGTGGAATGGATGAGGACTAACAAACTGAAATTTAATCCCAACAAAATTGAGGTGTTACTGGTGGGGAATGCGCTGACCCGGAAACTGAGGTATCTAGTTCTAAATGTGGTTCTACTCCCCCTAAAGGAGCAGGTTCATAGCTTGGCAGTACTGCTGGACCAGGATCTCCTGTTGGAGGAACAGGTATCAGCAGTGCTAGGAGTGCTTTTCACCAGCTTTAGCTGGTGAATCAGCTGTAGCTATTCCTGAGCAGGAAAGACTTTGCCACTGTGGTGCATGTCCAGGTAACATCTAAATTAGATTACTGCAATGAGCTCTATATGGGGCTTCCCCTTGAGGATTGTGCAGAAGCTACAGTTAGTACAGAATGTTGTCACCAGAACACTGACTGGAGTAGGTTGTAAATACCATATCACTCCATCTTCTTCAATCAACACTTGCTCCCAATTTGTTTCCAACCCAATTCAAGGTTATGGCATTGACCTTTAAAGCTCTATACCAGCTACTTCTGTGTGAATCTACCCAGCCACTCCAGTCTTCTTTGGGTGCCCCCACCATCTGTGGCTAGACAGGTGGCAACTTGAGAAAGGGCCATCTCTGTTCTGACACCAAAACCTGAAAATCCTTCCCCAGGGAGAGTCATCGATCCCTTTCTTATTGTCTTCTACCAGCAGGTGAAGAGTTAGTTTTGTTTGGTGTTCCCTCACTAACTCTTATTAGCACTCTTCTCTGTTTGAAGTGTTTTAATGTTTGCAGCCTTGGGAACTCTGAACTGAGTGGAAAGTCAGCATAGAAATGTTTTAAATAAATTATTTTTTTCAATGTGGCTATTCAGTTTTTGAAAATGTTGAAATCATGAGGGAAGCAAGTTTCTCTAAAAAAAGTCTGGGGAACACAGAAATATAGTGAAAACTCATTGTTCTAGCAACCTCATGCTTTAATAACAAAAAAAAATCATAACTGCAAGTATATAAACCTGTACCTTGATCACACAGAACTGCAAATACTGTAGAGAAAGAGAGAGTTGCAAACTGCTGCATGCCATGCTATCGAAGCATATACTTTAGCCCCAAGCTACATGTTACATTTAACATGTGACTGTCATGTGGACTGGCAGCAGAACAACAGCTGTTAAGTTCCCTATGGGAACTCAGCTCTAAAGTCGTGAAGGGAACCAATTTGGATTGGGAGTGCACCACAGGAGGGGCTCCAGCCTTCTCCTCACACACAATTTCCAACCTGAAATGGCCCTGGGGGGGGGGGTGTTATTGGCCCCAGTGGTGGGCTACATGTGCACTGCCATTAGGCAAATAATGTCCCGGACCCATTTTGGGTTAGGAAACTGGCACATGGGAGGAAGGCTAGAGGCCCACCTGTCCTGCAGAATGGTTCCAATCTGAATTGAGCCCCCTGCAGCTCTTTAGAATTGAGTCCCCATGGTGAACTCACAGCTGGTGTTCTGCTTCCAGTCCCCATGGAGATCACAAGTTGAATGCAACTTGTAGTTTGGGCCTTTGTTGTGATGTTTTGCTATGTAAATATCTTTGTGTGGGTATTATTTCTGTGATTTAATGTGGAGTTGTATATGTATGTTGGTGTGGGTTAAAATGTAGGCCTCTAGACTTAGAAAAAGCTGGATGGGTCACTGAAGTGTAGTATGATTGGATGGTAGCTGTACCTAAGGGGTGGGTTGACTTATTTGTGGAGAGTTCAGAGTGTGTATGAGGGAAGAGAGTTGAGTAGTATGCTGTGGAGTATAAGAGAAATCTTGTGTTCTTTGTGGAAGTTATCAGCTAAGTGGCAAGTGAGAAAATAAGCCTTTGTGGCTAGGTCTATTTCAGGAACTTTAGAGAAAGAAGAAATGTACCTATGTGAAGAGCTAGATTCAAGTCCAGTAGTACCCTAGAGACCAACAAAATTTCTGGGGCATGAGCTTTTGGAGTCAAGCTCCCTTCATCACACTCTCAAAAGCTCATACCCCCAAAATCTTGTTGGTCTCTAAGGTGCTACTGAATTCAAATCTACCTGCCCTACTGCAGACCAACACAGTTACTCTCTCTACCTATCTGAAACCATTATGTTTATCACCTTTACTGAAACTCTTATGCTGTTATACTTCTAAATAAACTATGTTTAAGAGAAAACAACTTTTATTTAGCGCAAAGGATCCCCTTTTACTTCAGAGCCACCCCCACACCCTGACCATTCTGACATTCTACCAAGTATAACTAAGCCATCCTGTTCTTTGAGTCCAACTAATAATTCCAAGGCAAGAGCCTTTGGTGGCAACAAAAAGAAGTAGGAAACACCAAGGAAGGCAGCATAACATATGTCACCTCAGAACACTGCAGAGAAGTGCTTTTACAGATAGGGTTGCCAACTCTGGGTTTGGAAATTCCTGGAGATATGGGAGGTGAAGCCTGGGGAGGGACCTCAGCCGGGTATAATGCTATAGAGTCCACCCTCCAAAGCAGCCATTTTCTCTGGGGAACTGTATTACTTGGAGATCAGTTGTAATACTGAGAGCTCTCCAGGCCCCACCTGGAGGCTGGCAACCCTACTACATACAGGTTTTACATAGGGTCTCAGAACAAGGCAAAACCTTACAGAAGTCTTTGCCATTTGAGAAGTAGGAAAAATGAAAATGTGTAGCAAATAAAAATATTATTTGGACACAAGAAGCAATCTTTTCATAGTTAACAGTATTAATGACTTTCAGATTTGAATATTGTGTTAAATATGAGGACACAAAAAATATTGAAATCTTCACTAATGTACTATTATTACACACACAGGATGTCATTAACTGTGACAAGATTAATCACAACTGAAACATATACATATCCTTGAAAATATGTTGAGTACCTTAAGAGTACTCAGAAATTATCATAAGCCAGTGGTGAAGAGTTTTATGTTGAGACAATTTTCATATGACAGTTCCTACAAAACTCTGAAAAACAAATTTGCCTCAATAAAAAGACCAAATCCTAGTTATCTATACACTCACTGGGTGTACTTGAACAAGCTGATAATTTCTGAACCTCTGTTTTCTGGGAATTAAATGCCCTATCTCCCATTGTCATTTTAAGGATGAATGATATAGATACAATAAGAACTCATGATGTACCCAGTTATACATAGCTATGCCACACTGAAATCAGCGGGACTGGCATTAAAAAGTCAGTAACTACAGACTGCAAACAGTATGAAAACTAGGACAAGACATTGCCAGTTTTTGACTGATGTAAGCAGCTGGTGACAGTAAGCATGTACAGTATAAATTTTGGAAATCACAAGGTAAAGCCTAGCTCTAGGGTTACAGGTCCCCCCCCCCCGCAAAAGGCATTTTAACTTTCAATAACAGAAGTTTAGTACCATTAAATCGCAAACACTTAGGCTTACTTCCAGATTCTGAACGTATAATACTTTACCGGCCACATGTTTAAATGTAAGCAGAACACTGTTGCAAGAGCTGATGAAACTGAATGTAGTAAAGTGGTTGTAGAACTGGCTTGTGCTGTAAGTTTTTATATTTTGCTGTGAAAAGTTCCATACCATGCCATAATGAGCTCCACCATGAGGCAATGAGAGGCTGCAGATTCTGACTGCCTTTAAGAGCAGTAAAATGGAGGACAAACTACTCTCAGGCATAGCTGCAACTTGGGGGGGGGGGTCTCTTGCACAAACCCTACTAAAATGAATGGGATCTTCCCATTCACAGCCCATCCATTTCAAAGAGGATTGTTCAGAAGAAACTCCTCCAGGAAGGCTGC